TTTTTTCGCAGAAAAATTTATGATAAATTTAAAAAAAATTCTTCTTTCCCGAATTTATTATATCAGTCAACGTGTTTATTTTTTGTCAATATAATGACATGTATTGACTATTTCCACTCTATATTTAGAGTTTATCTTAAGAACGATTTCTCGTAGCGATTTTTACCCCGAGACATTTTTTACGTAAAAAGTCACGGAACTGTATATTTTTCACTCAGTAGATTTATACAGGTATGGACGAAAATTTATTATTCTTCAAAACAGTTAAAACACATGTATTTCCGAAAATTCCCTTACAAATAGGAGTCATATTGGCATCAAAATAAAATTTCTCATGTCGAAAAACTCCCAGATGCCAATTTTCATCCAAATATTGATGTTACTTCAGGAATTATTTGTAAAAAACCGAAATAAAAATGAAACTTCTACACCCTGTATCTCCGAAACTAGCATTTTAGGACATATGTTTATACGAACTTTTTTACTTATTTTTATCTGCTGAATATGCTGCCGAAGTTTCCGGAATACAGTTCGGACTACCCTGTATGTTCTGTGTCCTGTGTCAATGATTGATACTAATTTTCATATTTTAAATATAATATCCGGTATATTATGCAAGTTTTGGATTCTTTGCAAAATTTTAGTCATAATTCTTATAGCACGTCCTCTTTCTATTTTTTATAGTTTATTAATAATAATTTAATTATTAAACTTTACCTTAAAATTTAGTAATTATTTAATAATAAATATGTTAAACCATTTTAATAATATTTTATCACTAAGTTTAGTTAGCTCATTCATTATTTTAATTGTTTTTTTGTTGCAGGTGAGTACTAGCTACTGGAAAGTGTCAATGTGGAGAAGCAGAAGGTTTTGGTAATATAATGTAGCATTTAATAATTAAACAATATACAGGGTGAGTTTCCTACGATGTTCCCTATGGGTATCTCGGAAACTACTGGAGATAGAGAGTCGGTTACAAATGGGGAAAGAATTGCAGTTTTGTGGGGTCATAAATATGCGCCTTTTAGATTTTTGAAAAAGTTCATGGCTTACTAGATATTTCGGAAAAAACAAATTTCGGCTATTTTAAAAATTGTCCCTAACTCCATTATAAGCTGTTTTAGACAAAAAACAAGTAAACTTGTTTCCATGGCTAACTAAGTGAAATTGTTTAAAAATGATAAGAATTGGCTATAACTCTGTAATTTTTCGAAGAAAACACATTATAGCTTATATCGCTAAAAAGCTTAAAAAATGGCGCATTTTGTGAAGTCATGGCCAACTATGGTTTCCATTTAAAAAAACATATGTTTGTGTCATATGTCAAAAATGACAGGCTTTAAAAAAAACGGGGGGCACAGTCTCCTAAAGGATGTGATTATCTACAACTTTCATCTGAAAACTTTTTGTCTAAAATAGCTTATAATGGAGTTAAGGACAATTTTTAAAATAGCCGAAATTTGTTTTTTTCGAGATATCTAGTAAGCCTTGGACTTTTTCAAAAATCTGAAAGGCGCATATTTATGACCCCACAAAACTGCAATTCTTTCCCCATTTAACCGACTCTCTATCTCCAGTAATTTCCGAGATACCCATAGAGAATATCGTAGGAAACTCACCCTGTATTTACATATCACTAATATACTTTTATTCTAGTAATTTTTATCGTAAATGGTTCTTAAAATACACTCAGATGCAAGAAAAACGCAACGGAGAAATTTTTGGTCAAATTTAAAGTGTTATATTTTTGTTATTTTTAGCCCTATTTTCATTAGCAAACGGTATATATTTATATCAACTTTAATTCGTAAACTAAGTTTTTTATAAACTTTAATATTTGGCATATTATACAGGGTTAATCGAGGGGTTGTTGATCAACAGTTGCAAACTGATCACGATAAATTTGCCACTTTTTCAACTATCATTTCTTTGTGAAGTTATTTTTAATATGACAAGGCAGCTTTGGTTATTATTTCGAACTATACTGGGTGCGTCTCAAAAGTGGCTCACCCCTATAACTTTTTTATTTTTTTAGTTAAAAAATGAGATTTGGTATATTAGAATTTGACATAAATTTGGATTGATTGACGTATTCAATTGTTTTCGGTCTCTTCCGGTTTCACCGGAAATTACTATAACTTTTGATTTTTAAATGGCACCCCCGGGATTTTTTTACTTTATTCGATAGAAAATGTAACTCTGAATAGAATGACATATTATATGTCAACTTTTGACTTTTACACATATGGTTTATTTCCAATTATAACTTGCGGTTTGTAAAGAAAATTTGACTTGAAATACTAAATGATTGTTCCAAATATGGTAATGAGCCACCCTCGTTCCATTTGAAAAAATGACTAAAAATACGATTTGAGCATTTTCTAACTGGCCAGGACAAGACAGTAAAAACATTAGACTATCCAATCTATTTGATAAGGCTCCTTGATGAAAAATTAGTGTTTTAAAGATAGCCATGGCACTCTAGATTGAATTTTAAAATAGAATTTTTTATTAAGCGAGAATGTCAAAAGTTGACATATGATATGACATTCTATTCAGAATGTCATTTTCTATCAAATAATGTAAAACAATACCGAGGGTGCCATTTAAAAATCAAAAATTGTAATCATTTCCGGTGAAACAGGAAGTGACCATAAACAATTGAATACACCAATCACAATCCTAATTTATGTTATATACTAATATACCAAATCTCGTTTTTATATCTGAAAAAAAAAAGTTATAGGGGTGAGCCACTTTTGAGACGCACCCGGCATATACTACTATGAACTATGAAATGCGCATTATGCTAAATTTGACCAAAAATTTCTTCGTTGCATTTTTTTGCATCTGAGTGTATAATATGTCTAAAACATGAATTTGCGTAAATGAAATAGACTCAACACTTGTAAGTAATTTTCTTCTACGAAATTCTTAAAATCTGTGTATATTTAAAACAATAACAATGTGGTCTAGAGGAATTTTAAACTAGAATCAAATAATTTAAGATTAAACGACTTACCTGTAAGGAAGTTCAATCGTAATTATACGACTGGTCCGTTCCGTATAGAACACCCTGTAGTTGCTGCAAAGCGCTGACAGTACACTAAGTTGAAAGAGAGAGAAAACATATACCATATCCACAGCCCACACAGCGGGTCCATTCATTACGCTTCGTGTAAAAGAGGAAATCGCGTAAATGGGTGGGCAACTCAAAATAATAATATAAGTAGATGTAAAAAAGAAATAAGAGGAGGGTGTGTTCTATACGGAACGGACCAGTCGTATAATTACGATTGAACTTCCTTACAGGTAAGTCGTTTAATCTTAAATTATACTTCCTGGTCCGTTCCTAATAGAACACCCTGTAGTTGTTTAAAGTTATTTAGCGATTTACGATGGGCAAAATACAATAGCATAATATGCTATGGAAAATAATGATATAATGTTGTTCTTGGAATATCTTTTTATTAAAAATAGATATATTTTTTGAAGCGAAATAATAATCATAATCAATAAAAATAACAATAATAGTAAAAACAAAAAACATATATACCTTAATCTAATGGTAATAATATTTAAAAAACCAAACAGTTAACTTAATCCTATGATATTTCTGGCAAAATCACCCTGATCTACAATGGGTCTATTATAATATTTAAAAAATATCTCGGACTCCTCAGACCAACCTGCTGTAGCTCTGATAGTATCAATGCTAGTACCTGCCTTGAAGGCTGCCGAAGTGGAAGCATGTCGTGTACTATATGCTGTAAAAACATCTGTATTGACCCCACTTCGTTTTAGTGTAGTTTTTATCCATCTTGATATTGTTTGTACTGAAGCAGATTTATGTGGACTCTTATGTGTAATAAAAAGACTGGAAACTTGATCTCTAATTATTTTAGTTTTTTCGATGTAGCATAAAAGTGTTGATGCTATACAGAGTTCAGGTTTGTCTGGGAAGAAAGGTATTATTATTTTAGGTTGCTGTTTTGAGGGCATAGATGTTTTTAAAATATCAAAAATCAATATTTCAATTCTATTATTAAGATTTACAATGTTACTAATTTTTATTTTAGACAAAGTTTGAAGCCTATGACCAGTACAAAGTGCCAGTAATGTCGCCAATTTAAAAGTTAAAAGTTTTAAAGATAATGAGTCCAAAGGAAAAAACGTACCTACATATTTTAACACAACTGAAGGATCCCAGGTGGTTTTATATTTAGGAAAGACGGGCCTAAGTTTAAAAACACCCTTTAAGAACCTGTTTATTATTTTTTCGTCTACTTTCGTATTTAGAATGAAATTAATAGCAGACCTATATGTATTTAACGTTGAGTAACCTACATCCCTCTTGAACTGTTCGTTTAAAAACTCCACAAATTTATCAGTGGATGGCTGGTATAACTTTATCTTATGATCTTTACAAAAAACCCACCATTTTTTAAATGCTGTATCATATTGTTTTAAAGTATTTTTGCTTAAGGAGGATTGTAATATTAGACATGCCTCCCCTGAGATGTTGCGTTGTAAAAAAGATTCCCTGATAACCTCGCTGCCACCAGGGTAATCCTTTTCCAGAGAGGATGGCTGCACCTGAAAGGGGAGGTTAATAAGTTTCTATTTGGACGGAAATAAAGAGGACTAGAGGTTTGTAGTCTTTTAAAAACCGGAAACCAAGGTTGCGTTTCCCAATATGGAACAACTACCAAACCCTCGGCCTGATCTGCAATTATTTTATTAAGAACCTTTCCCACTAGGGAAAATGGCGGAAAAGCGTAAAAATTTATATTTTTCCAACTAATTGTAAACGCATCTATAGCAATGGAGTTTGGGTCTCTCTTCCAAGAAATATAATGACTACATTTAGCGTTTATTTGTGTTGCAAATAAATCAATTTCCGGAGAACCAAGTAAAGAAATTATTTTCTGATACGTTTTATCATTTAAACTATATTCAGTCTCTATGTATTTAGATCGAGACTCAAAATCCGCTTCAACATTATTTTTTGATTCAATATATGTAGCGAAAATCCATAAATTCCTGGCCTCACACCATTGCCAGATTTCCCTAGTAAGATTTGACAGATTTTTGTATCTTATTCCGCCCATGCGATTTATATACGAAATTGCTGTGGTGTTGTCTACCTTAAGCAATATGGCACAATTAGTGCTGTCCTTCGCAAAACATTTAAGGCCAATAAACACAGCTAATAATTCCAAATAATTGATATGATACTTTAACTCTTCGGTACTCCAGAACCCGTGCGTTTTTTCTCCATTACAACATAAACCCCAACCTGTAGCAGATGCATCCGAATAGATTTCATATTCATATTTTTCGATTTTTATATTATGTTTACTAAGAGGAATATGTGCTAACCACCAATGTAATTCCTGAACTATAAGTGTATTTATAATTAATTTCTTTTCATAATCCCCACCATTATTTTTTAGAGCCACAAATTTGTGTCTTTCTAATATCTTGGTATATAACCAACCATATTTGGTGGCAGGGCAAAATGATATTAGTTTTCCAATTAGTTTTGCAAAGGTTCTTATTTTACATGACTTTAATTTTAAGAAAGAAATAATAGCCTCTGAACCCTGAATTCTTTTTGATAAAGGTAATTCGATAGTCATTTTCTCACTATCAAATAAGAAACCTAAATATTTACAGCGCCTCACAGGTGTTAAATTACTTTTTTCATAATTTATAATAAAGCCTAGGCCTTCTAGCAAAGAAATGGTAGTCGCTACATTTGTTAAACACTCTTGCCTTGTGGATCCTAACAACAAAAAATCATCCAAATAATTTATTGACATTAGACCTTTTGATCTTAAGTATTTTATATGTGGTTTCATAAGTTTTGTAAACAAAAAAGGGGCCGTATTTAAACCAAATGGGAGGCAACGAAATTCATAGAGTTTGCCTTCAAATTTAAATCGTAAATATTTACGATGTTTTTTATTAATTGAAATAAGGAAATAGGCATCTTTAAGATCAATCGCAGCCATAAAAACATTTGGAGAAATGATATTTTTAACAGACCTGTAATCCTCTAATTTAAAATGTGGTGGCAAAATAAATTTATTTAAACCCTTTAGGTTTAATATAAAGCGATACTGTTGATTAGGCTTTTGAACTAAAAAATAAGGTGAGATAAATTGACCCTTTTTTGATGTACAGGGCTGTATCGCGCCTATTGTTACCAATTGTTGAATACTTTCTTTTATTTTACATATTTCTATGCTAGTAAAAAGCTTTGGCTTTGGAGACTTTCTTTGAATTGGAGTACAAGTGAATGGTAAATAATAGCCTTGAACACATTGTAAAATAAATGGGTCATTAGTAATATCTTCCCATCTATCAGAAAATTTCTTAAGCCTACCAGCATATTTCCCTTTTACCTTTAGGGATTGAAGGGACGTTGACGAGGTTGGTTGTAAGAGCCCTTCCGATACTTCCACTGAGGACGGTCCTGCCCCCCCCGTTGATTCCGCGGGTACTTGTATGTTTGACCTTTCTTGAACCGAGCTTTGGTAAAGGGACGCTTCCAGTTTAAATTATTGCGAAATTGCTTTGATTGAAATGTGTCTCCTGGCTTGGCTGCAGCTTTTAACTCCAAACTTGACTTTTTAAGTACTGTAGCAGACTTACATCTTTCGGCAAAATCTTTACCAAACAAGATACTGTCTGACTGACATTCTCGTGCAACTTTTTGCATAGCTGTATTTAATATTGGGTAGATCTGATGTTTACGGTGTTGCGTCAATAAGAAATGAGCTTGAGAAATTAGTTTTGCAGAATCTATCAGACCAGGCAGTATGTCGTCTTTAACATTTGAAAAATCATTGTCTAACAATTTGTTTAGACTTGTGCCCATAGCTGCTAAACCCAAGCCCAACTCATTTTGAATATGCGAAAAAATTGAGTCCTTGGTATTTTCTGTAGCGTTGAGCAAAGGCTGAATTTCTGGGTTAATTTTCGGGGCATTTAAAATAGGGAAGTCTTCCGGTATGGCCCATTTTTTCTTTAAATCTTGTTTAATTTCGCTAGATAACCCCTCAGATAAGTAACTTGACCACCTTAACATGATCTCTTTATTAAGTGGTACACCTTTCGGATTTTCTTGTTCGGGAGTAAGGCCCAAAATGTTGGCATATTTCAAGGGTTGAGTTTGCGAAATATTTAGTGCTTCATTATCTGAAGCTGAGTCAGAAGATGAAATAATGCGACGCCTTTTTTTCCTTACTGGAGGTGATAAACTAGCTGAAGTGTCCGAATCACTTTCGCCTGTAACAATAACTTCAGTCAATTCCAGACTAAATAATAACAACCGACGACGCGACGGTTGAAATATGATATTTTTAACCGAGACGCAGCGCCGAACGCGAGATAACACCGGCTTGAAGACAGATTTAATAAAGCTTGATTTTTGTAGTATGATTTTTTAAGTATGTTTTGTATTGAAAAAAGAAAAATATAATATTAGGGAAAATGAGAGGGGTGATTGAACAGTCACTTATATTACATAATTTGCCATTGTGAGGTGATTAAAACCCGCATTTATAGTACATAATTTCGCCTTCTGGGGTGAATAAACCCGCACTTATATTTCATAATTTGGCCTTATGAGGTGATTCAACCCGCATTTATATTACATAATTTCGCCTTGTAGGGTGAATAAACCCGCACGTATATTACATAATTTGGCATTGTGAGGTGAGTAAACCCGCACGTATATTTCATAATTTGGCCTTATGGGGTGATTCAACCCGCATTTATATTACATAATTTCGCCTTGTGGGGTGAATAAACCCGCACATATATTACATAATTTGGCATTGTGAGGTGAGTAAACCCGCACTTATATTACATAAAGCACATTTTTTGGCCTTGGGGTGATTTAACCCCGCAATGCTTTGAAGTTTTTCGGTTTTTATGAGAATAATAAAATTGTTAAGAAACGTAAGAGGTGATTTAACCTCAAGATGTGATATCAAGAGACGAATGAATCCCTTTATCTGGCGTTATTTTCTAACAAAAAATCTACATATTATTATCTATGTACTTACTTGAAGAACCTGAAGAACTTGAAGAAAACACTTGTAACAATTTTTCCAACTTTCTCTTCACCTTCTCTCTTTTCTTGTTTTTTAACCCGGAAACTTTCATTTTTCACCAAGTAAAAAGTTCACAAAAAATATATACTGCACTGTCGACACTAAGAAGCGTAATGAATGGACCCGCTGTGTGGGCTGTGGATATGGTATATGTTTTCTCTCTCTTTCAACTTAGTGTACTGTCAGCGCTTTGCAGCAACTACAGGGTGTTCTATTAGGAACGGACCAGGAAGTATAATTTATAATTTTTATGTCAATTTCTTGTAATTACTAGCAACCTCGACATAACCAAACAGGACAAACAAAATACGGGAAACAGAAAAAAAAAACAAGGAATAACAGAAATCAACCCCTCGAAATCGTTCTAAATTTAGAACTGCCAAGGAGGGTGTGCCATTATTTAACATGGCGCGGAGCAGCGCTATTTGCCCGATAGTCCGTTCCGATAATAATTTGGAAAGCAAATATTTGACAACGATTAATTTGTTTTGTTTGAACGGGCGCGCGAAGTCCGGTCCTGATAAACAGCCCCCGGAAATAAAAGTTTTATCGTTCGCCCGCGTCGCTTTTATCTACGCAACGCCGCTGGTCAGTGGCGGCGGTTTCGCCAATTTGGCGGATTCGGTCGTCTGCCTTGGGGCCATCGAATCTGGTCCGAAAATTGTCCGATGGCTTTTGCGTCAAAATTTCAACAGAGCCGCAAGTAATTCGATTTCGATTTTGCGGCTAGACGGGCGACAAAAATCGAATAGAGCGAAAAGCCTTTGAAATTTGGTAATAAACTGACTGATTGGCGAAATATTGCCAGGAAAGTATTAACGAGTGATTGAAAAAGGTGCAATTGTTTATAGGGCCATTTCAACTGCCAAAAATGATGACTTCCTTTGCAGTCTACTTCCGGGCGCGCCAATTTAAAATTATTTATTGTTCTTTGAATATAACATAATATTATTTATCCACAATCATACGATAATGGGGGTATTATCCACTCATATGAAGCACTTAATGTGATATTTTATCGACTGGTGTGTTAAAATAACTTTTCGACGTGTTTGCAACTAGAAATTTTTATTTTATTTATTAACTTAACATTAATGGATAAAAAAAAACAATTCAACGCTTTTTTGTAATGCGCTTTTTTGTAATAATCTTCCTTGCACTTTCTAGTTGATTTAAAAAAAAAACCTTTGCAAATTCTTATGACACAAGCTTCGAATTTACTTTTTGTCAAGCTTTTGTTTTTATCAGTACTACATCATGGTACAAAGAAAACAAGGTATGGTCGATAGCGGCACCAATTTCTTTCAGTTTGCGCATATCACCTGTGACGTTATATGCCATATAAAAAATATCCATATTGTTCAATTGCCACTAATAAAAAAAAACTAAAATAGGGAAGAATTAGGACATACTTAACCTCAAAAGTTATGTATTGTCAAATCATCGAGCTTGACATTTGAAAAATTATTTTCACATTTATTATGTGTCATCTGTTTGACAATTTGAAATTGGCGCGCAGAGATTGCCGACCAATGGTGCCGTTTATGACCTGTGACGTAGTGCTGCGCAATATCATACCTTGTTTTCTTTGTATCATGGTACTACATAACATTGTTACCATAACAACAAACGCAATCCATACAATATATACTAATATGTTACATTACTCGCTGACGAGTATTTGACACGCATCAGAAGATGGTTACGCAAGGCGCTTTCTTTCATGAGCTTTTCTGTCTTTCATGAGCTGACTGAAAAGCCCGATACGTGATGTTATCTCTCTTCCGAACTCCTGACAATTAAAAATCTCATTGCTTTGTTGCCTCTTTACCTTTTGGTTGTGACTTTTATGTCGTCAATATATATGTATATAAAAGCTCAAAGGGTTTTTTGGTCCCGCATCCATCCCGCAGCTACCGCTTATCATTAAAACTACATTTTTTACATGTCGGTGTACTATTTTTATGATTTGTTTATCCATTTTTCAAGTATAGGTACTAGTTTTTAGTAAGTTTCTTGCAAAAAGACTGTTTTTCTTTGTTTGCCAAAATTCACAGAATTGGACAAAATGCATCTAGAAAGTCTGCTCCTCAGTTGTGATATGTCAGTACAACTTCTTGCATAAATGTTACTGATTTTACTTTTCAAAAACTGTAACTTTAGTCTTTTATGGGTGTAATCTGTTTTAATAATTTTAATATTTCTATACATTTTTACTTATATGCCAAAATCTAAAAGATAATGATTTTTAAACTAGAAAAATGTTAAAAATTTAGTGCACATCTTGTATATGTATATTTATATATTGTATATTTTTTTTTCAAATCGTTTTAACAAAAAAAATGAACTGTAAATCATAACTTAAACCAAAGATAATTTGTGTTAACTAAATATTTTTGCTTAAACTACCGTATAACTGAAACCGTAGAGAAACCTGAAAATTAAAGTGAAATTTATTTTCTGTATTTTCTCTGATTTCTTTTTTTAGCCGTTGTTTAGCCGTTGTAAGTTATTTGGGTCATAAATGACCTAAATACAAAATATTTTCATGGGGTCTGTCTGTCTGTCTGTCTGTCCGTCTGTCCATCTGTCCATCTGTCCATCTGTCCATCTGTCCCTCTGTCCGTCTGTAACACGATAACTCAAAAACCGCTAAACCGATTTTAACCAAATTTGGCACAAAAATACTGTGGCACCCCAGAATCTGGCCATTAATTTTTGATTGCGACTCCAAAATTACAGTAGATAGCGAAACGCGGTTTTCAATTTAAGATTAGGAATAATATTTGCAATAAAATTTGTAATAACATCAAAATCAGTCAAAGTCGCAGTTTTTGAGATAAAAAAAATTGGAAAAATTCCTTTACCTTGAAACTAAAAGAACTGCCTACCAACTTTTTATTAACATATTTTAGTATGGGCGGCTATACGTGCCTTCCGGCACCAATTTTTTTAATATAAATTAATTCAAAATCAAACATGTAGACTTTTTTTTCTTAGATAATGCGTGATGAAATACCACCGAGTTTAACAGTTTTGCATTATAATTGAAACTGTAGACAATAATAAATATGTATGTTCCCTTCGAACTAGACAATTTAGTCACATTTACATACTCCATTATATTCACCCTCTTCCACTGGATTCAATTATATCAGTTTCGATTCTTATCTAACCTCAACCGACAGTGCAAATTATTCATTCGAATGCCACCTACATCTAGCACCTCCCAGACCCTAGAAATGTGATTATCTTAATATAAAAGATCAAAAATTAAAGATAAAGTCTAATTTCAAAACGTATTTACTAAAACTAACATTGACATGTAAAATATACAGGGATGTTCACCACATACGACCCGGAGTATTGCAGCTAAACGATTAGATTTTTACAAATTGTAAGTTTTGGGTTCGTTGAAGGACTATTATAGCTACAATTTAAAAATATTTTTACAAGATACTGAGTGTCCCAAATAAATAAAAAATATCAAAGTTATATTTTTTTTTAAATGGAACACCCTGTATATTATTACATTTTTTTTCTATGATTAAAAGAAAGGTGAATTTGATTAAGGTTAAACCTTAACGTTTCTGAAATATTTCTAATTTTGTAAAATTACAGTAAAAATTTTGAGGCTTCATTTCTCCAAGGGTATCAAAGTTTTTAATACTAAATATTTACTGAAGTTTATTTATTGATCAGTTATAGTGTTGCAATAATAAAAATAATACTACCTCATACAGAGTGTCTAAAATTTTATTTTAAATAAATACTAGCTTTAAAGGCTATAACTTGTTTAATTTAAACGGAACACCCTGTATATTTTATGAGAATCAGATGCCCAATTTAATTGTCTATCAAATTGTATTATACCATTTTTTACCTACCTTTTTAAGTTTTCGTAGAAAATGCGTTTCATTTTTCGTAAAAATATTTCAAAAACGGTAAAGTTTAAGTGTGATAAACCTTAATCAAACTTATCCTTATTTTAATCATATAGGAACTAAAAATGTAATAATATACATAATATACCATTGTAAAAAAATACAACTTTGATATTTTTATGTATTTGGGACACTCTGTATCTTGCAAAAATATTTTTAAATGGTAGCTCTAATATTCCTTCAACGAACCCCAAACTTACATTTTGTAAAAATCTAATCGTTTAGCTACAATACCCCGTGTCGTATGTGGTGAACAACCCTGTATATTTATCCCTTATATTAAAATTAAAAGTCCCTTTATTATTTATTATGATTTTTATATATTTTATTTTATATTATAATATAAACATATTTCAATAGTTTCAGAGATATTAATAAATAAATAAAAATATATATATTTTTTATAGCCTTCCTTAAAAAAATTATTAATAATACAAGATCATACAGGGTGTTCAAAATTCTGCGCCAAACTTTTCGTGCCAGTGTGTGTAGTTTTATTTGAAAAGAAAATGTAAAACCAGCTACCACCTGAACTTAACGCAAATTATCATAGTTAATAGTCAATTTTATATAAATTTTATTTAATACAACCAGGATTAATATTACTACACGACATCGTTATAAACTGTTCAGATGGTGGTTCTACGGAGCTACAGTTAAAGCTATTTTCCAGTTGCACTGTAAAGTTTAACTTACCATTACATTAGGAAAATTGATTGGCGTGATTTACCTGCATTAACTTTTTACTTACACGCATATCAGTTCTATACAGTTGTTTTTTTCCAGTTCATTAAACTTACCAAGATTTCACTCGATTAAATGTGTGTATGATTCTGATGCATGCTTAAAGTAATATTAATAGTTTTTTAAACCCACTGTAAAAGATAAATTTTAATTATACAGAGATTGCTAATTTTCACATAATTTCAGAGTCGCTTGAAAAAATAATGTGAATTTGATAGGGAAATATGTATAAAAAAAATATTCTGATAGTGCATAGTTTAATTATTGTAAACTAATTATTATTAAGTAAAAGAGAACCCTAAAAGTAATTAATTATTTTATTTTTACTAAAAGCACTTGAGTTCGCTTAAATTAAAATAAGGCCTGTTAATTAAAAGCTTCAATTAATAAAGAAAGCTTTTGCCAATAAAGCCTTTAAAATTGCGATGGCATTGTTCAAGCGAGCATAATTGTTAATAAAGCACGTTTTATCAGAAATCGAATTATTGCCTAATTTGCATACATCGGCTGATGACACCATAACACAATTGAGCAGCGCT